TTATCCTCTTATCCTCTTATCCTCTTATCCTCTTATCCTCTTATCCTTCTTATCCTTCTTATCCTTCTTATCCTTCTTATCCTTCTTATCTTTCTTATCTTTCTTATCTTTCTTATCTTTCTTATCTTTCTTATCTCTCTTTTTTTTGGTAGCAATGGGTGGTTTGTCTCAGTAGTGATTTGACTACTGTACGGATAGCCGCGCCTCTATTAACACGCTCGCCTATGGGTTCGGAGTACTTCTCCTAAGAACCACAGCACTAGCCAGCCGCTTTTATTATTATTAGCGACGACGTAAAGGGGCGCATTTTCGCGCCGTCGGCATCCGATCCGCGACACCGGCTTCCACCCGACCTGACTGCCGCATGGGCCGCACCGCATTGTGACGCACCACCGCCACTGACCACGAGACCTGTTTCTAGGCGGTATGTGTTGGCTTCGCATGGCTTACTGCCGCAAGATTCTTTACTAGACCGCCCATCACTGGAGTGATTCACGAACTCTATTGTCAGCTGGCCCATTCCAATTCTCCTGAATCACAAACTCTGCCGCAAGATTCTTTGCTAGACTGCCCATTTCACTTCAGTGACTCACGAACTCTATCGTCAGCCGGCCCTTTCCAATTCTCGTGAATCACAGACTCTATTGCCAGCCCTTCTCTATAAATCTACTTTTCTCCTTCCTCCAACCAATTTGACTTCCACACCAACATCACAAAGTTCCCAAAAGCCATCTTGTTCTTCACCATGAGCGGCCCCGGCCGCCCCATTCTTGCCCCCCTCGACGAACAGCAGCTACAAAGTCAAGGGCTTGCCAGCCAAAACTCTGCAGAAGGAACACGCAAGCTGCATCGTCGTCGCATGAATCGCTCAAGTGATTCTGAAAATGAACAAATTCCACTCGATGTCTCATACTCCGCTCCCGATTCCCAATCTGCGTTTGCGACAATCCCGACGTTCCTCATATCAAGAGCGACTTTGATTCATGTTGGGTTTACCAAGACAAGAGCCTCGCAGCTCTGGGATCTCTGGGGCCAACAGCAGGAGGCCGAGGCCGAGCTACGGCGCGAATTCGGCGATGATGAAAACGACGGGATGGGAATGACCTTCTTGGACTTCATGAAAAGCGCCATCAGCAGATCACGCGACACCGCGAGTTCTCGGGATCAAGATTGGATTGCCGCAATGACCGCATGGGGCATACAATCCGAATTACAAGAAGCGATGACCGACCCCATGTTCGACCCAATCCGACACTCCCAGTCATGCGCTTACTGGGTCAAAGACACCATCGAGATGCGCTTTGCAGCACTCGAGCAAACCCAAAAAACGTCAGAGGAACGCAACGCACTTCTGGCCCGGGGCAGAACTGCAGACTTGATAGAAAGACAATTTCGAGCCGACGCTCAAATCGCAAACGCCCGCTCTGCCGCCGCTCGAAACGCCCCTGGCCATACCATGTTATACAGAGGCATGGATGAAGGGAGGGCCATGAACTTGGTCCAGGACTGGGACTCTTGCTATCTGAATGAGATGCTAAGCATGCCCCCATCGGACTTTAGTCCCAGCAGAAGGTTCTTTTACTTCAGCCCTCAGCGATTTGTTGCACAATACTACGCTTCTTGGGTGACTCGGCGGAACGAAAACATAGAACCGCGGCCCAAACCGATCATTATTCAGTTCTCGATGCCGAATAGCACCCTCGAAAGCCTGTCCTCCGGGACGGAGAAACTTTCCGTTTACTTCCCAGATGACGAGTGGAAGAAACTGATTTGGTACAGCCGTAGAGACCAACCTCTACCCACTACCCTAACCAAGTATCACAATGCGACTCTCATCATCGGCACGATCGCAAGAGGGCCCGATCTCGTCCTCCAGAGCCTGCGCTCCTGGGAGCAAGTTTCAGACAACAATGTTCTCAAACTTGGTCCACCAAGAAACCTGGCGACAGCCATCCAGTTTGTCTTTACGGATGACAAAGGAGGTTTATTGCTACAGCAGAATATGTCCTCATTCTCGAAGCAAGATTTTGATGCTCGAGAGTACTGCGAATGGCGACGTGGTCACAGAATTCCATGATTATGTCTGTTTGCTTCTGTTGTCTCTTTATTATTTCTACATTTGCTCCTTTTGTCTCTTTACTATTATTGCTTCTTTTACTTTTAAGAAATGGAAATAACTTTCACTATAGAGAAATAGCTTTTAATGAAACAAAGTTGCGTTTTCGAACAAGGGAATCTTCTAACACAGACCGCAAGCCCCTCGTCCAAGGAATACCATAAAGCATTAGGACCACTCTAGCTATAGCTTTATAACTCCTCGCTATGAAAAACGCCCACATAGCTACACCTAATTTTTACCTTTATATAATAGTGGCTTAAATCCTAATCTATAGTTTGTCTATTTCTTAAGAAGTGAGTTAGGTTAAGATATATAGAGTATAGATAAGTAGTTATTATAGTATAAGTTATATTAGGAGATATCTCCTAATAGTAGAACTATTACTTAGATTAATTAATAAAGATTTAGTCTAGTTATTTATTAGAAATCTCTTTCCTTATATATCTATTCTATCCTCTACTATATTACCTAGATTACTTAGTTTACTCTATAATCTAATAATCCTAGATTAGTACTAGATTACTATTATCCCTAGTAATCTAGTTATATAACTAGTTCTTTTATCCTTATACCCTTATAGATACCCTATAGTCACTTATTAGACTACTCTGCCCCTTATCTATAGTACCTTAGTGTATTTATAATAATACTATCTAGTTAAGGTTATTTATTAGTAGGTAACGTGAATTTTATAATTATTCAAACGTTATAAGGATAATATAACAGTTTACTAGTAAAGATGTTTTAAGATTTTAATAATAGGAACCCTTTTCCGTGTAGCGAGCTGAGAGGGCGGAGAGTCTGTAGTCGGCTCGAGTGAAGGGTAGGACTCGCTGCGTTCCTTTAAAGCCTCAGGCAAGAGTGTGTAAAAGATTTCAGCCTATCGACTTTTCGAGACATATTTCTCGTCCTCTGATTTTTCTGATATTCCTAATTTTTGTCACTGTTCCTGTCTTTTTTATTTTTCTTATTCTTACTGTATTTATAGTGTGATTTTTTTTGGCTCCTCATTACTTTGAGATCAGCCTGGTGAGATGCTCAAGAGTCATTCTCACCGCGCCCACCGGTAGGCGGCTCAGCAACTACCGAGCTCGACCGACTGACAAATCGCGATAAGTCGGCAGTTAGGATATTATCAACGCTTCACGCTATACGCCGGCAAGTCCCGACCGCTCGGTTCAGCGCATAAGCGCCGAGGTGAAGAGGTGCATCGCCTTGATCAGGCCACTTACGAGTCACGCCCCCCTTGTGCGCTCGAAATTAACTGCATCATTGTTTTCGGCATAGCCTTGACAAGGCGTGATGCTTCTTTCATGGAAAATGCGCTGTTTGGAGGGCGCTATCCACCCCCTGAAGTTGCAGATAATATGCCGCCGTGTAGCACCTATAGCGAGCATGTACGTGCATGATTATTCTTCTTTTTCTAGTAAGAAATTCGGCACGGAAGAATTTATAAACATCTGACAAAGTTTGATTCTAAATTCACCGCCCTGGAATTTTGATTGACCGTTTCCTGCTACCCTAATACCATCCTTGGCTGAATCAACACGCCTCACTAATGAGCGAACCGAAAGTCTAGCCTCTTGTTGCCCTGGTGCGGCGGGTTGGACAAGTACTGCAGTTTCTGCTCCTCCGTCATGGCCCGCCACTTGTCGTCGCGCGACTTGTTGCGCCATACGTAGTACAGCTTGGTTAGCACGTACAGCGTGATGTTCATGCACACGACGCCTAGGATGGCCTTGTTGCCGCGATGGTACAGCGGCGCGTCGTCTGAGAACCGGCTCAAGTCAGAATACTGGGCTTATTGTGGTGGGACGAAAGGGGGACTTACCGGCGCGATACACGTTGGCGGAGATGATGGAGCAACCCTGCACAAACATGTTGTACGTCGCGGCGGAAACGGTCCGGGACCGCACCGTGTTGGAGTTGCGCGACGTCCAGGCCACCTGGATGGGATGGGCTTTGGATTAGACAGCGTTACTATGTTGCGCTCTTGGGAGGGGATGGACTGTGTTCGGGTCGGACAAGGAACTCACAGCTGGGATAGCCCAGAAGCAGGGTGATGACGGCAAACATGACCCATTTGTTAACAGTAGCCGTGTCGACGACGTTGACGTAGATGACAAAGGGCAGCGCCCAGACCTGTCCCAGCATGGCCACCAGGGAGAGGTTGCGCACGCGCTCCGCCAGGTACGTCAAGCCGAGCATTGTGAAGCCTAGATATCTTTGTCAATGGACTGCCGACAAAGAGTTGGTACATTACAGCCCAGACTTACATTGGATCACAGTGGAAGGGATGGTGAGCAGGTTGGACTGGCTCCGGCTAAAGCCCAGGCCGCGGAGCGAGATGGTGAGGTACATCCCCTGAGGGTTCATCGGGATCATGAAGACGAGACCCAGGGCATATATCGGCCTGCGGGATGTTGGTGAGTGGGTGAGCCACAGAGGTGCAACCGAGGAACCACATACCAGAGATCGTAGTCCTTCAAGCTCTTCCACAACTGCCGCGGCGTCACGGGCTCGCGGTTGTGCATGTCGCTCTTGCTCGGGTCATCTCTGAGCACCCTGTTGACAATAATCTTTTCTTCCCTGCATTCAAAGTTAGCCATAATTTGCTTTGCTCCAAGATAAGATGACTATCGACGCACTTCTCCGAGAACCAGCCCGACTTGCCCCGGAACCAGCTGGCCGTCTGGCACGGGCCCGGCGGCATCAACAACCAGGAAAGCACGCCGATGACAAGGGTGAGCAGCGCCTCAATCAAGAACAGCCACCGCCAACCGGCCCGGCCCGCGAGGCCGCGCATGTTGAGCAGGCCGATGGCGAACGCCGCGGACAGGATGTCTGCGAGGTTGAGCGCGGTCCAGAAGAAGCCGAGGCGTATGGTGAGCTCTGCGTGCTTGTAAAAGTAGGAGAGGTAGATGATGATCTGGAAAATGTTAGTGAGGGCATCAGCATGAAAAGAGGCAAAAGAAAAAAGAAAGAAAAAAAAAAAGGACAAAATAAAAGAAGAAAGAAAGAAAGAAAGAAAGAAAGAAAGAAAGAAAGAAAGAAAGAAAGAAAGAAAGAAAGAAAGAAAGAAAGAAAGAAAGAAAGAAAGAAAGAAAGAAAGAAAGAAAGAAAGAAAGAAAGAAAGAAAGAAAGAAAGAAAGAAAGAAAGAAAGAAAGAAAGAAAGAAAGAAAGAAAGAAAGAAAGAAAGAAAGAAAGAAAGAAAGAAAGAAAGAAAGAAAGAAAGAAAGAAAGAAAGAAAGAAAGAAAGAAAGAAAGAAAGAAAGAAAGAAAGAAAGAAAGAAAGAAAGAAAGAAAGAAAGAAAGAAAGAAAGAAAGAAAGAAAGAAAGAAAGAAAGAAAGAAAGAAAGAAAGAAAGAAAGAAAGAAAGAAAGAAAGAAAGAAAGAAAGAAAGAAAGAAAGAAAGAAAGAAAGAAAGAAAGAAAGAAAGAAAGAAAGAAAGAAAGAAAGAAAGAAAGAAAGAAAGAAAGAAAGAAAGAAAGAAAGAAAGAAAGAAAGAAAGAAAGAAAGAAAGAAAGAAAGAAAGAAAGAAAGAAAGAAAGAAAGAAAGAAAGAAAAAACGTACGTCCGGGATGAAGCCGCCCTGGAGGATGCCGATGAGGGCGCGCGTGGCCAGGAAGGAGGAGCGCCCGCTGAGGAAGAACTGGCCGCCGGCGACGAGGCTCCAGAGGCAGATCTGCAGCGGGATCCAGCGGTCCGGGCCCAGCCACTTGGAGACGAGCTGCGAGGGGAGCTCGGCGCAGAGGAAGCTGAGCCGGAAGACGGTTGTGCCGAGGTTGTAGTCTGGGACGGGTCAGAGACAAAGATGGGGGAAGCAGGGTGTTGGTCGAGTCTTACCATCCGTGGTCAGATGAAGATCGTTGAGAAAGTTGTCCGTCAGCGCTTGCAGGATGTTGGCCCGGTCCAGCTCCAGCGCCATGAACATGATGCAGGCCCAGACCATGATGCGGAGGTCGAGCTTCCACACGAGCTTGGACTCCTCGCCCCATGTCCAGCGAAACAAGGGATCAAACCGGTGATAGTTTTCCCTGTTTCCCATGTCAGTGCTTGTTTTTGGCAGCAGCTTCTTGTTGTCAAGACTCACCATGTCTGCTTCGGGTAGTACTTCTCCAAGGTGGACGGGTCGTCAAACACGCTCTGCTGCGTCGCGATTGCTTCCTTGTCCACCTTGGTACGTCGCTGAAAGATGGACTGCCGCTCGTTGATCGGCGCTCCCAGCTCAGGAATGTCGCTGAGGGACACGGTCGAAGAGCTGGTCGCGCTCTTGCCGCTCTTGCTGATGAACACTGTCGCCATGGTAAAAGTCGCTCGCACGAAAGAATCTTCAGCTTGCCCCGGACTGTCTCACAAAAAGACCCGTCCGAACTATATGTATTTCCAATGCGACTCTAAGGATAAGACATGCATCCTGGAAACCCTCCGATACTGGACGGCGGAGGCCCGCGGCCTGGCTTGCTTCGACATTCTTGGCCAAAGCACACCACGACAAGCCATCGAGCCACATTGGAAGCCATAGATACCAGCTTGAAACGCAAATTTCGAATAATCAAACAGGAAGCCAAGAGATAGCTCTCATGCTAATGCACGAGCGGCCGAACGAGGCTTGCATTTCGGGGGGCTGGAGCGGCCATGTCGCCTAGACACCTCGTGGCTACGTCTTTGGCCGGCCATGCGCAGGTTTCCCATGACGCAAGAAGCCAATTAAGCAGAGCAATTTCCAAGATGGAATAGATAGTTAATATTTACATGCATACAGCACTGCACAGATGCACCAATCCGACGACAAGGATATGGCGTTTGACATGCTGCCGGCCTCTATGGCGTCATGATGGAGACCCGTCACCTAATGAATGGGAAGCGAGGTGAGCGCACGCAACAAGAGGGCAGAATGCACCATTCCAGCCTCTAATCCTACTCCGTGGAAGACGAATTGACCATGGACATGTTCGAATTTAGCAATCAAGGACGGTGCCGAAGCGGCAGTTCCTGGGTTGATCATGCCGTGCCCAACTTGGCTATATAACAATCCATTCTGAACCCTCAAATTTGATGTCAAGACATTCAACCAGGCTATAACTCACTAGCTCACTTGAATTAACCAAAGCGTATCACTATCACTTACCCCATCAACATGTCGCCCACCGCCGTCGACGCTACCCGGGTCGTCCCCGTCCCGACCAAGGGCAAGGCCTCGGCGCCGCTCAACGTCACCGGCGCCCTGCACCACCTCGAGTCCTTCGAGCTCAGCCCGACCATCGGCCGCGAGTATCCCCGCGCCGACCTGGCCGAGATCCTACGCGCGCCCAACTCGGACGAGCTGATCCGGGACCTCGCCGTGACCAGTAAGCCCTGGCCCGCAAACCCCCTTCCCTCCAACAACAACAGCAGCAACAACAACAACAACAACAACAACAACAACAACAAGAAAAACAACACCACTGACATCCAAAAGTCTCTGAACGCGGCGTCGTCGTCTTCCGCGCCCAGGACAACCTCACCAACGACCTGCAAAAGGAGCTCATCGAGCGCCTCGGCCGCCTGACCGGCCGCCCGGCCGAGTCCGGCCTGCACGTCCACCCGCTGCTCAACCCGGGCCGCGAGCTCGGCGGCGACGACCCGGAGATTAGCGTCATCAGCTCCGTCCAGCGCGAAAAGTACTACAAGGAGACTACCGTCGATGGGTTGAGCACCAAGAAGCAGACCAACGCCCAGTGGCACAGCGACATTGCCTTTGAGCCCTTTCCCGCCGACTACTCCTCACTGCGACTGACGCAGCTGCCCAAGACGGGTGGCGGTAAGTTTTCTTTTCCTTTTTTTTCTTCTCTCTCAATACATGTGCATCATCCCGGTGGTAAAGCACAAGAAGCTAACGTTCACGACAAAAGACACCCTGTTCGCCTCCGGCTACGAAATCTACGACAAGCTCAGCGCGCCCTACCAAAAGTTCCTCGAAGGCCTCAGCGTCACCTTTGAGCAGCCCGGCTTCGGCAAGACGGCCGCCAGCAACGGCTTCGCCCTCTGGGACAAGCCGCGCGGCAACCCGGCCAACGTCGGCACCGAGCTCAAGGCCGTCCACCCGGTCGTCCGCACCAACCCGGTGACGGGCTGGAAGAGCGTCTTCCCCGTCGGCGGCCACGTCAAGCACATCAACGGCGTGACGGAAGAGGAGAGCACCCACCTGCTGTCCTGGTTCCTCGACCTGGTTTACAAGAACTACGACCTGCAGATCCGCCTGCGCTGGAACAGCCCCAACGACATTGGTACGTGGACTTGAACTTGATGCCCCTAATTCAAGCAATGTGATCGGCCATAGCTAACAGTATGGACAGCCATCTGGGACAACCGCAGCACCTTCCACAGTGCCATCTTCGACTACGAAGATCAGGGTGATCGTCTGGGCATCCGCGCCGTCGGCATTGGTGAGCGCCCCTTCTTCGACCCCCAGAGCACTTCGCGACAGGAGGCCCTTGCCGCCCGCAGCAAGTAGGCCAGCGCCGTAAATGCAGTTCAAGTAGCGCAAATAATTGAATAGAAACACTTCCATCAATTGAAACTGTGCCAAGCTCAAGTACCACAGCCTCACACTTGCAATATCCAGCTTTGGCGTTCGACAAGGCTGTATAGGGCTCGCGCCATGGTCCAAGTCAGCGCCGTGTAGGCGCAAATGTCCAGCACCCTCTTGCCCTGGGCCTTTAAATTCTCCATGTGCATCGTCACAAGTTTGTCGTTGATCGCGGCGGTTTGGTTGATAAATGGCGTGTCATACTCCTCAGGCACTGGCCGGCCTAGAAAGGCACACAGCGGCGCCCACCCCTCGCTAACGTGGTACTCGAGCAGGCGATCCGCTGGCACCAAGGCGCGGACACGGGCGTAGTGCGCCTCGAAGCTTGTCTTCCCGTTGCCCGGAAAATCGTGATTGTACAAAACCTGATGCAGCTTCTGGAACATCGGCCAGTTCCATCGGTTGGGCATCCGCAGCAGCGAGGCCAAGACGCCGATGGTAGCCCACAGTATGCTCGTGTCTACAACTTCGAGAGTGTTTGTTACAGACCTACAAAAAAAACTGGTCAGTCTGCATTGCCATATCCCAGGTGCTGCCGTCTTCTTACTTGTGCCACTTATCTACGTCTCTGACGGTAAGAATAACCTTGGCATCTGGATAGGCTTCGAGGAGCTCTTCTGCAAAATATGCTGCCGGCATATCGCATACCGCCTAGTAGGACGTTAATATCATCATAACGGAAGAAACGTGAAGATATGAGACACCTGGCAATGTCCTAGCAAAGCATCAAAATCCGTGCGTCCCGGTATCCTGCCGATGCAATCGTGCTTTGCTCTCAGCCATTTCAGCCATGTTTGACAATCACGCGTATTGATGAAGGCGGCATCCATTGTATGATAGGTGTGAACATATCCCAGCGTCAAAAGTGCCTCTCTCAATGCTATGGTCGCGTCTCGTTAGCGCAGCATCTCATCGTGAGAGTTGCTGGTCAGACTTGCATCTCGTTCCCGTGCGGCTGTAGCCAAGACATAGCACCTTCATGGGGACTGATCGCATATCTGCTTTTGCCATGATTGAGTTGCTCAGCAGCTATGTCGTCCGTGCCTAAGCTACCGCAAGCAGCAAGAATGTCCATCGTTTTGACCGTCCATAGGATAGGTGTATTTATACATCGGGCCGTCGACCGGGCAGTCGCAACAAAGAGCACCACGTGGGCTTCGCAACGATCCAGTACCTTGCCCAATAAATATGGTTGCATGCATGATGAACCAGTAAGAAAGATGACGATGGGTTCATTAGTCCTGTAGCTGAATGCCAGCTGATGGGCTGTCGCAAAGTAACCATAAACGGCATGGGTAGTAAGCGAAATCACAAAATGAAGAAATGGCTCAAGAGGCCCATCGCATTGGAATCTGATCAGACGTTAGGTCTGGCTTCGTATTCTGCTCTGGGCTCTGCAGGGACTATGTGGAAGGATCACACGATTGGAAGGTAGCGACGCCTGTAGTCTGTCTGCAACCGTTGTTGTTGTTGTTGTTGTTGTTGTTGATGTTGTTGCATGAGAAGAGGGCAGGGCTGAGGTGGTAGGCTCGAGCATTGCGGCGGCGTAAAATAAAATCTGAAAACCCTTGGTCGAGTTTGGCAGGCTGGAAATGAAGAAAGGCTCGCTCTGTTTTCGCGTCTGCTGACGGGTCGGAGGACTTGGAGAAAGTAGCGGCAGACATTATCAGAGGGTACGGCGCATTGTGGTAAAGTGTCCAACTAAGTGGTAGATCAGCTTAAACCAAAGCGAGAAAGCGAGCACAGCTATGCATAAAATGCATTCCTTGCATTACGCAGGTCGAATTTCTCTAGTCTTGGTCTGACGTGCGCTGTGGAAAAGAGGCAGCCAAGAATCCCCACAGTCCCGGATGGCGAGAATTTGAGAACCAGTCACTGGGAGATAGCAGTCCTGTGGCGAGGAGATCTACACTTTTTGCCTCAGCCGTGGGGAGCCGCCGCCTCGCTCGGGTCGATAGTAAGTTTGGTTACAATTCTGTTGAAGTGGTTGTGGTTTAGTTGGGCCAAGTTGAGAAACGGCTCAAGTGGAGGCGATACGACATACGACGAAGTGCTCAGACCTGGCCGGTATTACTGGCACGAATGCATTGAGGTGTGGCGCGCCGCAGGTAAGGCGGGGATGAGCCGCACCCAGTGAAACGAGCCAGTCAGTGAACGCCGACGACTTGAGTCTGCGAATCCTCCTCATACTCTTGCCTACCCCCCGCTAGCGAGTTCTGGGGGTGCGGGGAAACCATGCAGGGAAAAGATGCTCTTGCGGGGAGCCGTCAGAATAAGCGTTGCCGGTTGCTTGCTTGTCGTTGTGCCGAGGTTACGACTGCGATTATCGATGTTGAGAGGAGGGGTTTTGCATTCGGCTGATGACTTCAAAACTTTGGAGAGGAGTCTGTACTCGAGTTGTCCGAGCAAGGCATTGGATGGATGGCCGACTGGGCATATATGTTGTGAGCCAGATCCTCGATGGATTAGCGGGGGACAATTTGACAGTAGGGAATGTCCACCAAAGAGAGTGTGCAAGAAAACCCCTTTTGCGTTTCCCAGAACTGTCGCTTCGTGTTGGAAAAACTCGAGCCATCTAGGCATTACAAACAATTATGAGCGTCTCCAACGGCAAGTCTGAACCAACCCTATGGGAGACAGGCAGGTCCTCGCCTGGTAGCCTTCTGGCCTCGTTGAGTACCATACCAAGCAGATAGGCGAATCCACTAAGTTAGTGGCGCATCTGGTCCAGCTTCCAGCTTGCGAGGACGGCTCGGTCAATTGCTTTTTCTCTTGATGGACACGATGATTGTGAAGCATGTGAAGACCGGCTAACAGAGACGGTGCCCCAACAGAAAAGATTCCGGCATCGCAGCTGTTTGACGTGATTAACGAACAGTTGTCGGAGAACCCGGAGGAGGTCAAGGACGCCATCAATAAAGGCAATGGCATCTTTGCCTTTACCATCAGGGGAAATTCGGGTGTGACGGATAGCTGGCATGTTGACCTAAAGTCCACTGGCCGCGTGGGTAAGGGCATTGGCGAGAAGCCCAACGGTAAGACTCCTCGTTTGCGCCCCCGCAGCCAAAGATGCAACACTGTATCACATCTTGTCAGTTTGGATCCCTGCAGTAGTTACTGCATTTGGTGGCTTGGATGCGCGTGACAAGGGCTCATAGGAACACGAGCCAAAATTTCCATGAAGGAGGTTGACTTGATACTGACGGTGGACTGCCTTCAGTTACGTTTGTTCTCGACGAAGATAATTTTACAAAGCTGTTCTTGGGCGAGGCCAATGCGCAAAACCTCTTTATGACTGGCAAGCTGAAGATCAAGGGCAACATAATGAAGGCGCTTGCTTTGCAGCCAGTTTTGCAGGTCGTGCGCGTCAAGGCCAAACTATAAGGGTATATTGGTATTGTTTGTCTTGTCTCGAGAGGGGGCAGTGAAACAATGGATCGCTTTTCAGGTATTGAATCGAGTGGTGGTATTTGTCGTCCTGGTCAGAATAACATATGAGCGTGAATGCCCTAAAAGTCATAATTCTTTTATTGCTTTCACGGAGCATTATGTAGTGTCGAGGCAGCTTGTACGTTCGTAGTACTTGTATAGGTACGTTGGAGTTGAGGTTGTTGAGGAGAGAAGACGAGTATATTGGCTTGGCGGCTGCCAGCTGTCAGCAAACGGCGTGCCAGCTGGCAGAAGACACGCTGTGGTTGGAACCTGTAGTACAAATTATGTGTCGAAAGAATAATTAAACTCTACCTTATCTTTTGCGTGTGCACATACATTGCCTCAGTACATTGTAGCTGGAGATGGACATCTCTTGTGCACTCATGGCGGGGTGTAGAGTCTTGAGTGTTTGCGGGTCATCCCCCCTTTTTGCCTGTCTCGAGACCTTTTCCCATCTTCATCCCCTCATCACAAGCAAAAGCCCTTCCTTGATCAACTCGGCACATGCTTTTCGAAATTCAAGACATGCAAAACTTTGCCCCTGGGCGCTGCGGTAGCCCTGCGTGTCTTTTATAGAAATGGCTTGCAGGTTTGGTCGCATCTCAGTTTAGGTCGCCCGCCACGCGAAGCTAACCGTTGGGAGATAGCGCACAAGATAAAATACCCGCCTCGAAGAGCCTCGGTCGATGCACAGCCCAGCGATCATGATGGCTGATACAGTTTAACTAGCAGTGCGGCTACATGTGTGGTAGCAGCGCAGCTTCAAATCAACTTCCCCCAAGCCCCTTGCTGAGAGCAGTGAATACCACCCGACGCTGTGACGGCATGGACACGGATCCGCAAGGGAGTCCCACCTCAACATATCTGCACTCCAATCCCAGACTCGCTATAGGCCGTCAGGGGCCTGTCGGGCATCTTCGCAAACTCTGTGGACGCTCTGGGGCAAATCCTGGGCAAATCCTGGGATTCCTGGGGCTCTGGGGTTTCCCCAACCCACCCACCAATTGCACCTCCAGGGCAGCCCGCACTCCCCCGACCTCCCCCGCGCATCGCCAGGCGACGATTTCCAAGCTCGCTGGCCAACTGGGTTACTTATAGGCTAAACCAGGCTCTGGAAAACTGGGTGGCGTCAATCCGGTGGACCAGACCACCACAAAGCCAATGATGCTATTGGGGAAGCCGTGTCCTGGCCATTACGATCCCATCATATGCCACTCGCTGCAGCGGGAGCCTCGGCAGCCAACCCGTTACAGTCCCCCCGATTCCGTGCTCCGAGTGTCCACCCCGTGAGCCTCCTTGGGGTATATCTAGACGACGATGCCGTTGATTCTTGTCTCGAGGTGAGTTTTGTTTCTTCAGCTCGAGGCCTTTTCTACTTTGCTTCTCTTTAGCTGGTCCATATTCATCGCATCTCATTTTTCACTAGCTGGCCAACAAGACCTACCTTACACGCTACACCCGTCATACAACTAGCCTTGACCCCGCACAGTTAACATTTGGGCTTTTCTGCCATTTTCTTCTTCTGGGTTATACAACTCTTTTCTTCTCTTCTCCATTTCTTGAAACTGTCACCCTTCTCCTTGTATCACCAAGTGCGTCGCGAGCTGCCATAGAATCACAACTCCCGCGGCTCTTTTCTCCTTTCGACAACATCATTCTTAGATACCCATATACATTACCCCGCCAACTACAATCATCACCATGTCTAGCACTGCTATTCCCGAGGGCAACGTCGGCAACCTGACGACGGAGCAGGAGACCAAGCTCCGCCAATTTTGGGGCACAATCTTCAAGCTCTACGACCTCTACGACTCCAAAGACCCCGAGATCCAGGCTGCGCTCAAGAACTGCGCCTCTCAGGCAGCTGCCCCCGTCCAAAAGTCTCGCTTCGGCCTCTTTGGCGGCGGCAAGAAGGCCAGCACCGAAGATAACAACGCCACTGCTCTCATCGAGAAGCAGCTCGGCCTCGGAGCCGCCGATGAGAATGACAAGTTTGGACTGCGCAAGCAGTTCATGGAGATGCTCGGCAAGCACTCGGCCGAATCTTCCCGCGCCATGATCCTTGAGGCCGTCAAACATGACCACCCTGATGCTCTTGCCTTGCGCTTCCTACGTGCTCGCAAGTGGGAGGTTGACCGCGGCATCATCATGATGTTCTCCGCCATGGATTGGCGCTCGAGCAAGTCCAAGGTCGATTCCGATATCATGTACAACGGTGAGGCCGGCGGTGCTCGTGATGAGAAGAGCTCCGACCCCAACACCAAGGTTCTTGCCCACGACTTCATGCGTCAGCTCCGCATGGGCAAGGGCTTCCTCCATGGCACCGACAAGCTGGGCCGTCCCATCAGCTACGTGCGCGCCCGTCTGCACAAGCCCTTTGATGGCAAGAATGAGTCTCTCGAACGTTTCATTGTCTACAACATTGAGACTGGTCGCATGGTCCTGAACCCACCCATCGAGACTGCCTGCCTGGTGTTTGACCTCTCGGGCTTTACCCTCGCCAACCTGGACTACGTGCCCATCAAGTACATTATTCAGTCCTTCGAGGCCAACTACCCCGAGTCTCTGGGTGTCATTCTTGTGCACAACGCGCCTTGGGTGTTCAAGAGCGTTTGGAAGATTATCCACGGCTGGCTGGACCCTGTCGTTGCGAGCAAGGTGCACTTCACCAACGGCCGCGACGGTGCGGACGGCATCACCAACCACATTGCTCCTGACAGACTGATCAAGGAGCTTGGCGGCGACCTGGACTGGGAGTACAAATACGTGGAGCCCGTCGAGGGCGAGAACGAACTCATGAAAGATACCGCTACCCGTGATCGCCTCAAGGCTGAACGCCAGGAGATTGGTCGACGATTCGAGGCCGCCACGAGAAAGTGGGTTGAGGCGTCGACTCCCGAGATCAACGTGGAGCGCACCAGCGTGGCCAAGGAGCTCGCCGTCAACTACTGGAAGCTGGACCCGTACATCCGTGCCCGCAGCTTGTACGACCGCAACGGTAACCTGCGGGGTGGCAAGCGTGTCGCCTGGTACGAGGACGAGAAGGCGGCGGCGGCCGCCGAGGACAAGGCTGGTGACAATGCTACCCTGCAGTCGGAGGACACGTTTGTCGACGCCACCTCCAAGGCCATCGCTTCGCTCAACATTGACGAAAAGGCACCTCTGCAGACCACTGCCAACGCCGTTGCTGCTTAATGATTAAGTGACTGATAACTACGACAATGGCGTTTCAAACGACGAAAAATGACGCCCTTTGTTAGAAACGCCTTGAGCAAAAACGGTGCATTCAGCATGCATTTATGGGCATTTGATTACATGATTTTTCTGGAAAGACTTTTGGGTTTCCCTTTTTTTTCTTTTCTTTTCTTCTTTTCTTCTTTTCTTTTTTTTCCTTTGTCGCGGCCGTTTGCCTTTTGGCACAGTGAAGAGACATATATACCATGAATGAATTACTACATTTGAAGAACCAACAACGAGGACATACATGTATTCCAGGGATGTTGCACGACGGCAAGACCACCTGCAGGGTAACGAGTACTACCTCAACTGACGGCTTAGGACGGCGCACCAGCAGCAACTGAGTGCGGCGGTTGCCTCGGCTGTAGGATGCAATCACCAACTCGCTGCAGCGACGCCATGCAAAAGATCCGTGCAGGACTGTGACCTTTTACACTGGCCATGCAGGAACAAGCATGCGGAATACCGGTACCGTGCGTGGAATACTGGCCTGGAACGACGCTGGGGGCGCGCGACTACTGAAACTAGTATGTACATAGCTTGCTGTGTCGTGCCTGGGCGTCGCTCGTCAGTGGCGCAGTCTCAGTCGGGTGCGCGTTACCAAAACGGTAGGTGGTTGCCCTGAAGCTTGCAGGAGGTGAAAACGAGGCGGCCGTGGCGCACAAACGGCGCATTTTAATTAGATACTTACTCGACTTGCAGGAACAAAAGTCCATGGGTTGTACGAGTACAGACGTTGGAAGAGTACAGACAGTTGCCAACGTCGCTGGATATGTGTCAAGGAAACGCAGCCCCCCCTACGACGAATGTCACCTGCCCTTTTATTAATGCAGGGACGTTTTTTTTTTTTTTTGAAATAGGGGACCCCGCCCTGGCTGTGGCCTGTGGGGAGAACATGTTCGGGGCGTCGACTTGGCCCCCCCTTTTGAAGCATGAAGCAAGCAGACAATGCATGGGAGAGTCGAGACAACAGCGCCGGGGTAGTCATGGGTACCCTTTGGTGGACTTCCGAGAGAAGCCAAAAATAAACCAGGCAGTGCTAAAAATTGGCCCATCGGTTTGCGTGCCGACCAGTCTTCGTCATGGCCTATTTTAGGGGCTGCAACGCGTCGCTCGCTGACGTTGGACACGTTGTGATGCAAAAGGTCCATGGTCGCCCTGCAAGCGACGAATGCCAAAATTTGCGGCCAATCTCCTTATCACACCCTCCATCTCTTACTAGCGACTGTTATACAATAATGTTGCCTTTTTTTTCATGGCTCCGCCTTGGCCAAGGCCGCATCCACTGGCGGGCTCCATGCCTGCTCATCTCTTGTGGGCTTGAAATCAAGGCACATCTCACAACTATTGGAGCAAGTCCTCCCGCTTGTGAGTGGAAGAAGGATCCTGTGGCTTGTTCCTGCCGTGCTGCAGAAAAAAAAAACGCCTCAAATGTTGCCTCTTTTGTTAAAGGATGGCTTGTCTCGGCTAGCTTGGGTACATGAGTCGTCGTCCTCACTTGCCACCAGAACATTGGAAAAACAGGACAAAGGAAAAAAGAGAGGTCAGAGACTTGGGAAATCAGCAATTTGGTCGATTCCAGGGCCATATCCACGTGGTTCCCAGGCAAGTCAGATATGGCCAGTTTTTGCGACAAAAAAAAAGTCAAGGAATACTGCCCATGTCATCGTATCGTCTTGGCAAGGAACTCAGGTCAGAGGCTCTCAATCTCCTTCTCCATATTCCAACATCCTCCGCTTTTTCTACTCGTTCCCAGACCGAGATCCATTCTCAAACCGGGGACGCGCGTTTATCCCAATTGAGACTGATTTTATGAGGGAAACGCAATTAACTTGGTTCCTGGGCAGGCTCAGCCGTCACTGCGCCGCGCCCCGGTCTTTTCTTGTTCTTGGTCCCCTTGTTTGGTTCATCCCTGCCCAGGTTGGGGTGGCTTGGGTCACCTTTCCACTGTATTTGTTTCGCTGGCTGGCTGCAGAGATTGGCTTTGAAGTTCTTTTCGTGGGGATCGCTTGGTGCTTGGTTTAGCCAGCCAACCAGCCAGCCAGCAAGCATGGGGATCAGTTCGGTTCTGCTCTGGGGGCGTCTTCCGTGGTGCGTCGGCTTGGCCCTGCCGTTTGCCGGTGGAAAGTGGAAAGTGGAAAGTGGGAAAGTCGCTGTTTGGAAGGGGAAGAAGAAGGGGGGCGTCGCTTTGCGTTGCGTGTCGTTTCGTAAGAGGGCTCTCTGCTCTCCGCCTCGCTCGCATTGTCTGTCTTGTTTGTTCTCTGCATCATAGAGCAGTCGTTCGTTTTCCTTCCTTTCTTGTCCCCCCAGCTTCATTCGACATTCCCTTGCCAGGATACTGTTGGATCTTCAGACTCCTGCTCCGACGACCTCGAAGCGACTCGAAACTTTGCGACATCGTGTTGGATTGCGACGAAAATATATCCCTCACTCGTTTGTGACTTCGAAAATAATACCACCGCCTCCAACATGGGGCGCGATACTATCCTGTCCCGGACGGCCATCGAGGCCATGGTGGCCAATGGCGACGCCGTCGTCATCTTCCAGGACTATGTGCTGCGGCTCAACTCGTGGCTGTCTATTCACCCAGGCGGTGACCTTGCCATCCGACACATGATTGGCAGAGACGCAACGAGCGAAATCACATTGTAAATGATCCCATTGCCATTTCCTAGCAAAAGCGTGTCCGTTTCGTCGGTATTGCGCCGTGTCTGCTTCCGCGCGCTGTCGCATTGGTGTGTTCCAGTTAGCCTGGTGCGGAATAGCCTCTAGTTGGACCAGGCGGACTCACCAGCGATTTAAGCTTAATCTTGGTGGAGAAACCCTCCACGGCTGTCCCCCAGATCTCAGCCTTTGGCAGTGAATTCCAGAAGAGAAAAGGAAGAAAAGAACGAAGTTGTAGCTGACTCTTGCGGAAATTAGATACCATGCGGCCCATACCCTCCAGACCATGAAGGCTTTTCGGATCGGCCGGAAGCCTACGGGTCCCTGGACTAACATGACACCACCAATCAGGGCGAAACCATCTACCGATCCCTCGTCCGTGGTCTGCGTGCCGCCTGCGGCTCTTGCCGAGAAGAAGCAAGGTCAGGGTTTCGATACCTTTGACGTCGCTGTCGATTCGGTCCCGGATGACAGCCCGCTGTCCGAAAAGTCCGCCGCGGGTTCCGCCTCCGCCGCGGACCAATGTCTCCAGACAGGTCGCCAGCTGAGGCCGACGACATGCTGCTCGCGACGGCCGTCACCGAGCGGCGTCGATGCCACGGAGCCTCTCCTACCACCACCGCCTGCCACCGCCGTCGTCGTGGATGAGAAGGCCCTCGAAGCCGCACAGCAGCTGCCGCCACCGCGCGGCCGCAAGCACATGTCGCCGGCGCAGTACACCGAGTGGGCGATGCAGCAGCAGCGCGAGACCGACATGGACGAGTACCCGTCGCTCGCGCAGGACGTGCAGCTGGCCATCACGGACAAGTACATGAAGCTGCACGAGCAGATCGAGGCCGAGGGCCTGTACGAGTGCCCGTACGGCGCGTACGCCAAGGAGATGGTGCGGTACACGGCGCTCTTTGCCGTGTCCATGTACGCGCTGCACGAGGGCTGGTATGTCGTGTCGGCGTTGTTCTTGGGATTGTTTTGGGTAAGTTCTGCCAGCCAGCCAATAGTAGCAGTTGTGTGTTTGGTTGCTGACACGCACTTGGCAGCATCAAATCATGTTCACGGCCCACGATGCCGGCCATCGTGCCATTACGCAAATTTTTGAAGTCGACACCCTGATTGGCATGTTCATTGCCGACTTTTGCTGCGGCTTGTCGATTGGATGGTGGAAGAGCAGCCACAACGTCCACCATCTCATCACCAACCAGCCGGTATGCTTGCCGCTACCCTCCTCACCCCTTCTCTCTCGAAGGACCTTGACCCTGAAAGACCTCGAGTCCCTGACAAAAGCCCCCCCCTTAGGAACACGACCCCGACATCCAAAACGTCCCCCTGTTTGCCACCTGCCCGTCTTTCTTCAAATCTCTCCGTTCCACCTACTACGACTTCACCTTTGTCTGGGACCGCGCCGCCGAGCTGCTCGTCCCCTGGCAAAAGTACACCTACTACCCGGTCATGGGCATCGCGCGCTTCAACCTTTACCTGCTCTCCTGGATCCACGTGCTGCTCCGGCCCTCGCAGCTCGGCGGCAGCAAGGCCTGGTGGATCCGCCCGGCCGAGGCCGCCTTCATGGCCTGCTACTGGTTCCTCTTCGGCTACCTGCTGCTCCTCCGCACCCTGCCCGACTGGCGCACCCGCGTCCTCTACGTGCTCGTCTCGCACATCACCACGATGCCGCTGCACGTCCAGATCACGCTCTCCCACTGGGGCATGTCCACGGCGCACCTCGGCGAGGACGAGTCCTTTCCCCAGCGCCAGCTGCGCACCACCATGGACGTCGACTGCCCGGCCTGGCTCGACTGGGTCCACGGCGGGCTGCAGTTCCAGGCGGTGCACCACCTCTTCCCGCGCGTGCCCCGGCACAACCTGCGCCGGGTCCAGGGCTTGGTCCGGAGGTTCTGCGACGAGACGGGCATTCCGTACGCGATCCTCGGTTTCGCGGATGGAAATAAGAAGGTGCTGGGTAGACTGGACGAGGTTGCGGAGCAGGTGCGCATCCTGGTTAGTTGTCAGAACTACATGGCGGAGACGGGAGAGAGCGGCTTGCACTGAATAGATCTATAGACTCATAGAGACAGATGTGGATGTAGATGGAGCAAAATCGTGTATATACAAGTCTGGAATCGTTTCTTGAATTATCCTACTAGCGTCCTCTATTTTGTGTTCAACTAAGAAAAGCAAAAGCAGCCGAGTCTATTTACCTGTACACTGTCCAATGTTTTACCAATCCATTCTTTTTGTGTTTTGCCCCATCTGTCCGAGTAGTACCCAATCCTCCATTCTCCATCTCTGCGTCGTCTGTCTGTGTGAGTAGCCAAGTCGCCCACTCCTCCTCTTTGCACCATCCCTATCCTTCTACCCCTTTACCTGCCCCCGCGCCCTCCCCTGCCCCCCCGAGGCGCCCTGGGCTTATCCGGGACGACGTTCAGGCCCCTCGTCCCCCGCAGGCCCATCTTGCCGACCGTGCTGCGCTGAATCGTCGGCGTCTCGGGCGTGCCCAGCGCCTCGCGCGCGTACACGTTGGCCTGGCGCACCAGCTCCTCCTTGTCCCAGCGCAGGCCCTTCATGTGGTTGTTGTAGTAGCCGAGCCAGGCCTGGTAGATGCGGCCCTTTTCCTCCTCGTCCATGCGCTCCATGATGCGGGCCACCTCGGGCTCGGTGGACACGTCGGCGTCCTGCGGGACAAAGGAGATCTCCTTGAGGGTCCAGCGCGGGAAGAAGGCCTCGTCCTCGGCGATGAGGAAGACGCCCTTGCCCTCGGCGTCGGCGCGCGCGGTGCGGCCCAGGCGGTGGATGTAGCTCTGCTTCTCGGAGGGGATGCCGACCTGGAAGACGATGGTGACGCCGGGAAAGTCCATGCCGCGGGCGATGACGTCGGTCGCGGTGAGGATGGCGGAGCGGGCGTCGCGGTACGCGTTGGTCACGTTGGTGCGGCGGCTCTGCGTCATCCGGCTGTGCAGCGTCGACACGGGCGGCAGCCCGGGGATCTGCGAGAGCACGTGGCCGTAGAGGCCGGCGAGCGCGGCGGTCGGCGCGAAGACGATGGCCTTGAAGTTGCCGTTGTTGGCGGCGGCGGCCTCCTGGCGCACGGCGCCGACCATGCCAGCGGCGACGGAGGAGAAGGAGGGCACCTTGACGAGGTGCTGGGGGACGCGCTCGTGCGTGTTGGCCTCGCCCTCGGGGATGGTGGAGATGAACTTGTAGCCGGGCGCGAGGACGAGACCGGCGACCTTGTTGACGTGCGCGGCGATGGTGGCGGAGAAGAGCATGCCCTGACGCGGCACCTGCTGCCGGTCGGGCAGCTTGCTGACGATCTCGCGCAGCGCGGGCATGAAGCCCATGTCGAGCAGGCGGTCGGCCTCGTCGAGCACGAGGGTGTCGAGGCCGCGCAGCGCGTAGACGATCTCCTCGTTGGACATGTGGTCGATCAGGCGGCCGGGTGTGGCGATGAGCACGTCGCAGCCGTCGAGGATCTGGCGTTCCTCGCGGTCCTTGTTGGTGCCGCCAATAGCGACGCGCACGCGGTAGGTGGGCAGCCGCTGAAGCAGCGCCTTCGCCTCTTCCGCGATTTGCATGGCTAGCTCACGGGTCGGCGAGATGACAAGGAGAGAGGTGGGTGAGTCGCGGCTGACAGCGGCGCCGCGCGTCCGGCTCAGCATGGTCTGCAGGGCGGGCAGAAGAAACGCGACGGTCTTGCCGGTGCCCGTCTTGGCCTGCACGAGGCAGTCGCTGCGGTTCGGCGGCAGCAGCTCCCACAGTGTGGCGGCCTGGACAGGCATCATGTGGTTAAACTTGAGGTCGTCGGTGATGGTCTGGATGACGAGCGGGTGCACAAGGTCCTGCCCGGCGAGGTCGGCAAAGCGCGGCGTGTCGAGGGGCACGGCCTCGGTCAGCGGCGGCTTGTACGAGGCATCATCTTGGGCAGGAGGCGGCGTGTGAGTAGGCGTGTCATCCACGTCCATGGCCATGGGGCTGTCCGTGCCGTAGTCTGACCTGTTGTTGTTGGCATGGCCGCCACCACGGCCGCCGCGTCTGTTGCCGCCGCCGCGGCCGCGAAAGTGTCCCTTAGAACCACCGCGGCCGCGACCGCCTCCGCGACGGCGATCTGGGCGCTGCCCATCTCTGCCTCCTCTCTCAGTCATTGCTAAAATTCAGCAAAGGAATTCAGCAAAGATATGTGTGTGTTTGGATGAGATTTAGGTAGTAGTGGTAGGTGAGGCCGATTGGAGGTGTTGCAAAAATGGAAATAGGACCCACTTCTGGACATCTTCACGATTGGGTTGACAAGGACCAATAGTCGTGCTTGCAAGAATAAATCCAGAAAATCAACGAGGAAGCCTGTAATTACATTCAAAATTTTTTTTCTTCATTTTTTTGAATTATATACACACATTAAGTATCTTGAAAGAAAAGCACATCCGTTTTCGATCATTGCAAGGTGTTCGTCCTAGCCAATTCACCAAGTGTTTGCACCTCTGTTTCCAGCATCAAAGCTCAACGGAAGGAAATGTACAAAGCAATTCTCTACGGGTACCTACCAATAAAAATTTGACGGCAGTGTGAATGTTCAATCCATCTGATATGCCTAATATGCCTGCCTGAGGTGTCCACATGGACCTCAGCCTTGACAGCTGCCAGCTGCCAGGAGTGGATCGCCAGTCTTCGCTCTCCGCTGTTTGCACCTCACCTCCCATCCCCAACCAGCTCGACCAACACTTTGAAGACTCAACCACTTGCCCTCTACATGAATCACCGAGCACTTCTAGTACTACAACTCTATCATGGTACTATTCCTGAAGTCGCGTGACCCATTTGCTACTACTGACCGCGTCCTCTCCTTCGGGTTAGTGTGCTCAGGCTACGTGCCACCAGCATCAAGATGTGCGATGCTATCCTGTGCCCCAGAGACAGTCCAGCCCTGCTTCGCGCCGTCGGGACAACGCAGTGAAAAATCGAGCAACAATTAACATGGCGCGAGCATTGCTAGCCAGAATGCTAGAACGACGCATTGACATCGACATGGGGTCTAATCTTATATAAACACCATGCGATTCGCTGGTCTCGGTATCCAGCGAGCGCCAGTTTTTCATCAAAGCGCCGATGAAAGCATCAAAAGTGGCGTGGTGTGAGCGGTGCCACACCTGAAAGACATACCGCGTTGCGCTCACATCGGCAAAGATCGACATCAGTGCCGTCTCCCTCCCGAACCCGAGTCCCCGTCAACTGATCGCTATTCCTCGATTGCCTGTCGGTCGCTCAATTAGGCTGCGCCCATACGATGATGCTACATACATGATGACCATGCAACCTTCTTCAGCGCATGCACAGGGGTGGATCGGGACGGTCTTGCACGCCAAAACAGAGGTAGTGCCCGGCCGGATCGGACAGTCCAGCCAGTAACGAGGGCATCATTACGAACCTGACCAGCGATTTCCATCACCCCTGTTCCTCAATGCCGGCCCCAGAGTCAAAAGCAGCTCTAACTGTTAAAATCGGGCATGCTTCTCCCATCAAACTACCAACGAGGCGGCGCCGTCGCGGCACGGGGAACGGCCCCGCCCTAGCCTCGCCTTGCTCCATGTGGAAGGTCATCAAGTTGGCGTGCCTCTGCTACTGCACGTGGAAACTGTGCCACCGCCATCCCGTTCGTATGGGCGCACATCTCGAGCCGCCAGATGACCGAAGGGAGGGGCCTCAGGCCTGGAATTGATAAGCTGTCTCTAGTGAAATGTCCGGCTCTCCGGTGCACCCGCGGCTGGCTGGCGAATAAGTGCTGGAAACCGTCTGATATAAAGGTACACCGGTTCTTCGCACAAAAGGACAAGTTCCCGGAGCCAAAGTAGGAAAGACCCCAAGTCTAAGCGCTCGCAATGCCTTCGCTGCAGTCCTTGGTCAAGGCTCTCCCAGCCCTGTCGGCTACGGCTTTGGCTGGCGCGAGTCTGCCAGCCAAGCCGGCCGATCTATCCACGCCCATGCAAGTGCGTATCGCTGTCAGTGGCGCAAATAGTACGTGTTTACATCCCAACACATTGACTTGTATTGGCTTGTGTTGACAAAATTCCCAGGCATCTCTGTCGGATGGAACACGTACCAGCAGTCGGCGAATGCCTGTGTGAGCTATGGCGCCTCGGCGAACTCTCTTACACAGAAATCTTGCTCAACAAAGTCCGATACCTACCCGACGTCGCGCACCTGGTTCCAGACAGTTTACTTGAACAACTTGGCCCCTGCCACCAAGTACTATTACAAGATTGAGTCGACAAATTCTACCGTGGAGCAGTTCCTCTCCCCACGCACTGCTGGTGACAAGACGCCCTTCTCCATCAACGCCATCATCGACCTGGGCGTTTACGGAGAGGACGGCTACACGATTCAGAATGACCAGTCGAAGCGCGATTTGATTCCCAACATCCCTCCTTCGCTTAACCACACGACCATCAAGCGCCTTGCCGACACTGCCGACGATTACGAATTCATCATCCATCCGGGCGATCTTGCTTATGCTGATGACTGGATTCTGCGCGGAAAGAATCTCTTTGACAGCAAGAATGCGTTCCAAGCCATTCTCGAGCAGTTCTACGGGCAGCTCGCCCCCATCTCTTCCCGCAAGCCCTACATTGTGAGCCCTGGCAACCACGAGGCCGCGTGCCAGGAAATCCCCCACCTCACCTGGACTTGCCCAGGCGGCCAGAAGAACTTTACCGACTTCATGACGCGATTCAAGAGCAACATGCCCAGCGCATTTGCTTCCACCTCCAAGGCCGACAAGGCCAAGGTCAGCGCGAACAAGGCCCAGCAGCTGGCCAATCCCCCCTTTTGGTTCTCATTCGAGTACGGCATGGCGCACATTGTCATGATCAACACGGAGACCGATTTCCCTTCGGCGCCGGACAGCTCCGATGGGTCTGCCGGTCTCAACAGCGGTCCCTTTGGCGGCCCCCAGCAGCAGCTGGACTTTCTCGAGGCTGATCTGGCGTCTGTGGATCGTACCGTGACCCCGTGGGTTATTGTCGCTGGTCACCGGCCGTGGTATACGACAGGTGATGGCCCTTGCACACCGTGCCAAGAGGCCTTTGAGCCGCTTTTCTACAAGTACGGTGTTGACCTGGGCGTTTTCGGCCACGTACATAACTCGCAACGTTTCTATCCTGTCTACAACGGCACCCAGGATGCCGCTGGCATGAAGAACCCCAAGGCGCCCATGTACATTGTGTCGGGCGGCACGGGTAACATTGAGGGGCTCAGCGCGGTCGGCGCCAAGCCCAGCTATACCGCGTTTGCGTACGCTGACGACTTCAGCTATGCAACGATCCGCTTCCAGGATGCGCAAAATCTCAAGGTCGACTTTTACCGCTCGTCGACGGGCCAGCTGCTGGATAGTTCGACGCTGTTCAAGGCGCACAAGGACCAGTTTGTGGTGCAAGAGTACAAGTAGGCTCTCGCGCCCAAGCGGGTGAGTCAGTAAAAATCAGGCGTAGCCAGCGGAGCGGGGATGGTGCAGTATTTATAGCTGCGACCGTCGATCATGAGGCTGACGGGCGGTAGGGTAGCTAGGGTAGCTATTTTAGACTATACGGAGACGTGATCAGCTATAGGATATTCGAACGACTCACTGTTACAATTTTGCCACTCAGCCCGTCAGCACGCTCCCCTCATTCGTTCATCAGCGGCCACGGATCGCTCGGCGCGGACAGAAGATTCCAGGTAGGCCGGAGCTTGCGCGGACGGCACAACCGTGATATGACAAGCAAACAAATACCGTACCTGCGAAGTAACTACGGAGAAATACTGATTCATCTTAGTCCAGCCCCACGCTGTGTTCGCGCGCAGCTCAAGGCTGGGAGGGGAGAGGGGAATGGGGGGAATAGCAGACGAGAGAGGGGAAGCTAGGCCTTGCCCGCTTTCCGCCTCAAGTTTCCCGGCAGCCGGTTCACGCCATTAAAAGTCCCCTTTCCTTTCCATCTCCTTGGTCATCAAACCATCATCCGCCGCCGCCGCCGCCGCCGCCGCCGCGCCCCCTGCGCTCCCCTTCCTCTTCCACATCACCAGAATTCCCGGCCCATGGATCTCAAGACGGTCGTCCGCAACCTAAAGGAACAATCTATAGCGCGAGCCAAGGACTACGAGGTGCCGCTCAAGTCGGCCGCGCCCCGGCAGAAACGGTGGGCCACGAAGAGCAAGACTGGCTGCGCTACTTGCCGGTTCGTTTAGAAAACCCCCAACACCCTGCGCTAGCCATGGACAGGTGAAAATGGAAGCCCGAGACGAGCTGGTTGCGTTGCGTTGTGCTGCGTCTCGTTTCATCTCGCTTCCCGATGCCAAGGGAGGGGAGAAAGGGGGGATACAGGCAGCAACCTGCTTTGCGCCCTCTGGAGCTTGCCACCACCACCGCAACCCTGCCTGGCAGTGCGTTCCGCAAGGACATGCCGACTGGATGCTAACCTGTCTTTCGTCGGTTCGTTTATTCGGCGTATAGGATCCGACGCATTAAATGTGACGAGGGAAAGCCACACTGCCAGCGATGCGTCCTTACAGGACGTCTGTGCAGCGGGTATGCCACTCCTGCCGCCGCCGCTGCCGACGCCGCCGCCCCCTCGTCGTCCTCTGTCTCACTCTCACCCGAGCCTGAGGCGGCAGCGGCACCAGCACCGGCCTCGTTGCCGTCGTCGTCCAAGGCCATGGTGCCGGTGCCGAGGGCCAATCACCACCCTGACTATCACATAATGGATGCCATCAGATACTGTTCGTTCAACCGTCGTACCATGCTCCGCTGATGGGGAATATTTCTTGGCTAACGGGGTGTCGTGGCGGTGGATCGTTTAGTTGGGTCAGTCATGATGAAGGAGGAAGCCTTCCATAACCCGGGTGACAGTATCTTTAAGACGACCTTCAAGCCGAACTTGCACGTTGAAAAGATCACGTCACGAGAAAGCTTCATCGCGCTGGTCGTCACGGACCGCATCGTCAACGCCTCGGCCCAGGCTGGCGTGCTGCCTCGACAGGGCAACCTCCCCGGCATCAATCATCTCTGGTCCTTGCTTTACAGACACATAGACATCGTGATCAAGGACCTGAACTCGAGAATAGCAGGGGGCGCTGCCATTGAGACCCTGCTCCGTCGGCTGGTCGACCTGCTCAGCATCGACGTACGTGCACCCGAGAGACGAATGACTTGAGTTGCAAGTGATGATGCTAACCTTTCTTTGCACAGCTGTCGATCATGGACCCTGCTTGGCGGTCCCACGTTGAGGGCTTTGCAGCCTTGGTCAAGCTCCACGGTGGCGTGCAGAAAGTGATCAATGTCAAGGCTGCTCTTGAACGCGACCAAAGAGTACCGCCGATGGCTTTGCACTACGTCTTAATGTAAGTCAAGACCAAAATTCTCCACGCATGTCTTGTTCTGCATGTGTCCTAACAAGACTTCTCAGCTACTCTACACTGGCGAATACGACTAGTCCCGCCAGCAATCAAATTACGGGCCTGGCGAACTGGTCAGCCGACGACATCACGGCCGCGTACTCACACACCGGCTTCCATCCTGCGCCTTGCCCGACGTCTGTGCTGCAAGATATTGTTCGCATCACACGGTTACGTACAATGTGTTTGGCAGAACCAACCATCACGTCGGCTTTTGTCCCTATTGCCCACGAAGTCTCCCGGCTGTTGCAGGCGTTTGTGCCGGAGGAGTGGACGGAGCCGTATGCGAAGCCCGAAGACCCCTGCATGCCGCTGGCTGGGGACCTGTACAAGACGGCATCGATACTGTATGGGCTGCTGTCGCTACCCCCGGTGCTGGCGGCCGAGTTTGCCACGATACCCGGGGCCGACCCCCCGGCCATGGACGGGCCATCGGCGGTGGAGAGAGCACGGCTGTTCTACGGCGCGTACCTGATGAACCTGGTAGAGCGGGCGATGGGCGAGCTGCCGCTGCCGCAGGGTGTCAGCTGGCCGATTGCGGTGCTCGGTGTGGCCAAGCACGACGCGCCGCAGGAGGAGAAGGACCGGCTGATCCGGCACCTGCGAACACTGCGGCTCAGGCCAGGCGCGGACAGCGGCGCAGCCAACATTGACATCAAGCTGCGCGACTTTTGGTACTTTGGGCACACCAAGTGGGAGGAGTGCTACCATGAGCCCATCAACGTCATCACGTAGGCGGTGGGCTGGGGGCATTTACATAGCGACGACTCAGGCAGAGCATAGCGATGGGCGTTTATTTACCTCAAATACTCAATCATTCAGGATACAAGACCAGCCGTACTTTGGAACTCCTTGCGAGGAATTTGATGTTAATAGTGTAGTGTATTACTGGGTGAGAGATGGCCTTGCTGAGGCCGGGAAGAGACAATCCTTGGGTGTGAAATTCCACTGTGAGGATATAGGCCGAAACTATTAAATATCTGGTACATGGACACGGAGATTGGGGCTGCTCTGCTCGATGAGCAGCCATTCGTGGCCTTTAACATGACGGAGATGGAGGGCAGACAGCTAGCGCGGGAGTCATGCGAGTATCAGTCAGTTTGCCTTTCGTTACCAAGTTGGGTAGAGTCGTTTTGCCTTTAAGCAATATAGCAGAGTATTTCTTTGAGCTACGACTCAGAGTGCTTTTAGCTTACACCACAGTTCAGAATCGGCACGGTCAAATAGACTTTTGTCGCAGGGGGGCAGAAAAAAGGTCACATTGAAGCACAATAATTCTCAAAAGCAGGACTCTTGGTGAAAGACTTGGGTCTAGCTGGTTCTGACTCTAAACTGCCATTGTCGGTCTTGTTCTTGGAGAAGATTTTGAGGCAAATGAATAGGCCATCAGCCACGTCCGGGTCCGTCCAATTTGACCAAGATAGATGTTTACTACCTAGGGCTCAGATATGTTGGCAATGGTTCGAATGGTCGCACTGGGCATCCGCATTGCTGAATTGGTACTCGGTGCAAGACAAATCACGGCATGGGACCCAAGCGACGACATGTCTATGGGGGTCACATGCCCGCTGGCAGTGCTGACCGCGAACGTTCAAGCCAGTGTCAGTCTCATTGTCCGTCTCATTGTCCACGCTCTGACTCATGGGATAGCACACCCAATCGCAACTCTGGCACGTCATATCGAGCACAGCGAACCACTGCTTGATCCACAGCCTCTCCGTCTCTGGCGGGTGGTAGTCCACGGTGTAGGTGGTACCAGTCGTCGTGCTCTCGCTCCAGGTGTAGCTGCTCTGGAAACCGAGTGCTGCCGACTTGGCCAGACTAAAGCTCAGGGAGCCGCCTTGGGTGACGGACCACCCGATTGTCTTTTGGTCAATATGGGATAGGTGGCAGACGTTGCCTTCAGCACAGTTGTAGCGCGGGCCGCTGCCATACCACCAGTAATCCCAGCGAGAGGCATCGGTACTGCAAGTATCCACGCCGACCACTGGAGTGGTGAGCAGTGAGAGGATAGCCGCTGTGAGAAGGGTACATTGATGCAGGTTTAGCATTTTGCAAAGGAGATAGAAGGGTAAATTGTGATAAGAGTATTCAAGAAGGAATAACCATGTCTTTCGATAAGTGTACTGGAGAGTCTTGTCCAAAGCCGATTTAAAGGCAGAAGTATGCAGCTACTTATATACTTGACTCTTTTGAGCTCGACATGTCGCTGCAGCATGCAAGCTTTACAGGATACTGCAAGTAAGCAGAGGTCAGTTTGACGATTCTGGCCTGGCTGGGTTGAAGCTCTGAACGAACTTGGGTGCAGCCTAACATGACGTTGAGCGTACTCGCGATGAACTTGCAACGAAGGGTCGATAAAACAAGTACAGCATTGCTATTGGCCAGCGGAACGCCTTCAGCCTTGTCCGTTATCAATTCTTTCCAGTTATAGTGGTCTAGGATTGGTCCCCAGGACATGGGGTCCGGAATCCGGCACAAGCGAGGGGGGCTAAATATATGCCCAACTGTAACTTAGCGGAGCGGCCAGCCACGTCTGATCTGGATTGGGTGATTAGCTTGCGCCAAAATCGCTAGTTTCATGCGATAGCAAACATCGCGAGGAGACTCTGGGGACTTTTGTCCAATTCTCTAGGGTTCAAATATGCAGTTATCCGCTCCGAAATCGTACCTTTGTTTGCTGCGCTGACCACGACCCGTGCGTGGAGTATTATAATAAAATGCTTCCTCTTATTGCACACCTTGACGACTAACAGAGGACGATAGGTAGTCAGGTCCTCTCCTCCCCAGCTTTCCCCAAATCACATTCACATTTTCCCCCAAACGCTGTCCATCTCTCACCGTTGGTCACTGGTAACTATGGCTTGGGTGCGCGATTGGCTCTTTTTTGGCGCCGCATGCTGTCATTTCGTCGCCGCTGCCACTGACGCGCCGGTTATTAGTGGTTGCGATGGAGACGGTAACTTTGGGCCACCATTCAACGCAACTGGCACTGTCTCTTTCGTAATAGAGAGCTTCACCCACAACAATGGCAAACCATGGTATCTGTCAGTCGGTCTCAAGGACAGGCGTGACAAAAACGCCGCCTACCCGGGTGTGCAGACAGTGACCGGCTATCTTAGTCTACCCGACGACTATGTCCGCAGTGCCAGGACCAACACAACTCAAATGTGTGTGTACCACTTGGGACAACGAAACACGACAGCCTCGCCGGATGGCTCATGCCAGGGCGTCATTGACGACGCATGCGCCAAGTATATTCAAAATTTTCAGGAGTCGCAATCCTTCTCGAATGGGGAATGTCCCGGGTTGCCCTCCGATGATGTTTGTGGAAGCCAAATATTCCAATTGGGTAAGCTGTTTTTGTCAGATCACTACAGAAAAGGAAAAAGAAAAAGAAAAAGAAAAAGAAAAAGACGTATGCTTATTTTGAACCAATTTTAGACACACCAATTACGCCGATACGCAGTAATTGCTCCACCAGCGTGCAGCCTGCGTTGGTTGGGCTCCCCGACGCGTACAACACCCAGCCAATCTTTGACTTGGGCTTGCCCTACGGAGACACCAAGGTGGACGCCTTTACTGCGTTTGACTCGCACGTACGTCAGTCGAATCCTGTGCTGCTCGTTTTTGGCGCCAAGCAAGACCAGGATGGCAAGATTGTCATGTATGATAGCAAGTTGCTGTGTGTAGCGCCTGTCAATGCGACGGCCGGCAGCCATTTTCCCAAGTCTTCGGCCGTTGAACTACGAGTACCAATGGCGTTGCTTTTAGTAACCGCTGCCATGACCCTTTCTGGGCTCTTTCTTTGTTGATGCATGACTGTGCTGCGTCGGATGGCAGGTCAACACAGGGATCATGTTCCAGTTGTGTCATTGGATCGCCATGTCGATTCAAAATGACTTTCATTTCTTTCGAAAGTTTTATGTCAAAGTTAGAATATATCTCGATACACCTTCATACTATTCTGATCTGTCTAGAAATTTGGGCGGGACTGTGTCTGCATAATATCAACCCTCAGTGTTAGTAACTGTTGGTGTTCCCTCGGCACCACGAAGCGTATCTGCTATGCTGGCAGGATTCTCACCATGCCCAAGCAACGCTGCTGTTATTGTTATCAATACCAGATTAGGCCACTTCAACTAAGGCTCAATTCAGAAAAAGTGAACAGCATCTGCAATAAAAGATGCTGCGAGATGCTGCAGGTTGACACCAGCCAGCGCAATTTCGCGGCTGACCGCGGGGGATGGCGTACGAAAATCGGCACACATTTCGTAAAAGTCGGCCTGGAGTCTCTGAACGAAGAGCGGATACTGCTGGTCAAAGCTCTTAATTAATTTTTAGAGGTTCTTATTGAAGCCTGGGAGTGATTGGAAAAGTTGCAGGTAGTCTAGAAAACATGGGCGAGTCATTAGTATGTCTGAGGGCGTGATTATGAGGTTGAGTCTGCCACTCTCGCTGGAGACTCTATCCTAGGAACTAATTTAAAAGAAGTAATAAAAACCTATTAGAAACTTATAATTTAATAAAAGTATTATTTATTAACTACTCTTTTTACTATAATTATATTCTAGTATATTCTATTAGAGTTAGGGTATTTTTTTAGTTCTAAGGTAATTATAATTTATTAATAAGATTTAGTAAGATAAAATTTCTTTAAACTCTATTATTAATTATTATTTAAGTTTTATTTTTATTAATAAAGAGTTAATTATAAAGTACTATATATTATTAATATTTATAGTATATAAAGATTAATTTAATTTTTATTAAAGTATTAGTTTTAATTATAATAATAATTATTATTTTTTAAACTTTTCTTCTTTTATATATTAATAGTCTTTTTATTAGACTTATTAATAGAACTTTAATAATAATTAATATATTTATATTTTATTATAATAGTGGCTTAATCCTATTCTATAGTTAGTCTGTTTCTTAGGTAGAGAGTCAGTTTAAATGTATAAGTATATATAAGTAGTTATTATAGTGTAAGTCACGTTAGGAGATGTCTCCTAATAGTAGAGCTATTACTTAGATTAATTAGTAGAGATCTAGACTACCTAGCTATAGGAGTACCTCCTCTTTAAGTACTTATCTACCTCTCTACTATTTTCTTAGGATCACTCTAGATTACTAGTAATCCCCTATAATCTAATATCTATAGGATCACTACTAGCTCACTATAATCTATAGTAATCTAGTTATATAACCTTATATCCTATTTAGATAACTTATAGGTTCCTACTTAGTCACTCTCCTTAGGCCGCCTCCTAGCTACCTTACGTATATTCTTAATTTATAATATTATTCTCCTCCCCTATTAGTCTTATCCTTAAGGCTACTATATTAGGTCTCCTCTTTCTTTATTCTATAGATTTATTTTTCTCTCTTATATTATTATACTTTACTATATCTAATTATGTTTCTAAGCCTTATCTTTTAAAAGCTAAATAGTGTTTTAAACTTACTACTACTATTAAGGAATTTAGTATTAAAGTTATACCTTATTCCTTTTATTATTCTTAAAAACTTCCTTATAAGATAATAGAGGGTGTTTCTTATTATAAAGAGTGTGTTTATTATAGTTATTCTTATAATAGTTTAAGTGTACTAGTATCTTCTCTTAATTAAATTATTTTAGAATCCTAATATTTATATTATAAGGAGGAGGAAGCTACTACCCTCCTTTACTGCCTTTAATAAGAATCCTTTAAGGCGCTAGTTAAACTAGA